CGAAATCGCTCAGTTAGCTAACGACTATTCAATCTGATATCTCTTCTCGCGACTTGTAATCAAAGTCAGTTATGTGTTATCTTATCAATGTGATCAGTTCTAATTGCAGCGAAAATTAAACCTTTATAAGTACATTCAAAGTGGTGTTTTTCTCATTTTAATTTATTAATTTTGTGCATGTCATCCGCATAGGCTCCGATTGCCGTCGAGATTTTATTTTTATTGTAACACAATAATTCGAGCCGAGATTAATAGTTTTTTTATATTTTTTTTCAAGTGCATTATTGCTAATCTCCTTAACATTAATTTTGGTCTTTCGAGCCGAATTTTATTTCGTGTGTCGAATATTCAACGCAATCGCAGACAATTCGCGGCATTCGACGTTCTGCTCGTTTTCGTCTCGAATTCACAGACGCACTCTCGCTTAATCGTGCTCAATCTCTCTCTCTCTCTCTCTCTCTCTCTCTCTCTCTCTCCCTGTGAAAGAGTAAGCACGTGTCTTGTGGGAGCTCTCATAAAAGTGAGTGATAGAGTAAATTAAAAGAGAGTGTGAACACTTGAAGAACAGTATATTTGAGTTCGGAGGTTGGTGCATAATTGAAAATATTATTTTTCATAAAAAGCATCAAAATCATTGACGTAAATTTAGCTCGTAAAAGTATCATGTAGCAAAATGTAGAATTCGCCATAATGATGATTTCGCGAAATGCGGCGACATGAGCGACAGCGGGTGTTAAATGCAATTACAGGAAATCAAACTTAAAGACAGTTGCTGTGCTGATAAAACAAGAAAGTATATAATGGATGTAAAGAAAGCAGTGTCTACTTTATGTAGGCAGTGTAGGAAAGACATTAAGACTGAAATAATCGTATGTGTACCGTGTGAGAAAAGTTTCCATCCCAGCTGCCATAAACAGCATAAGATTTATAATGCAACTAACAAAGTGGTTCTGTATAAAGGAAAATTTGAAATCTTTACGCAAAAAGGTGGATCGACAGAAGAAGGCAGCGGCGAAAAAAAAAAAGGGAAGCGTTGACTCAAGTGCTTCTGGAGAAAGAAGCCAGGCTGCATTGCGCCCTGCTGACAAGGAGCAAGCTGATTTGGAGGTGCATGTACGTAACGATATGGATGTCAAAATAAAGAACATTTATAAGTTAATAAAAGAAACTAAGGATGAAATAATGGGGAAGGATATGATTAAAAATATTATAAGGGAAACCTTGGAGGAAGAAATGAATAAAATAAGAGAGCAGTTGCAGCAGTGGAAGACACGAGTTAAAAGCATTGGTTAGCGAAATGATAAGAAAAGAGTTGAGCGATGAAATGCAGACTTTATCGAAAGAAACATAAAAAAGCTTAAAGAAAACATACAGTGGAGCAGTAAAAGGCAAGTCGGAGGCAGTTATAATTATTAAGCCAAAAGATATTGATGGCGAAAACTCAAGTGAGGTTACAAAGAAAGATATTAAAAGCAAAATTGATATCTCTAAACTTGGAGTAGGAATAACTAAATTAAGGAAAGTGACAAGAGGAGCGGTAGTGGTGGGATGCGAAAGCAGGTTGCAAGCAGATAAACTAAAAGAGAAGGTAGCTGAGGATCTTGGGGAGAAATATGTGGTAAAGGAACCAAGGAAGAGGAAGTTGAAACTCAAAATATTTGATATTGATGAAGAGGATTGTGAAAGAGAGGAGGAGTTTTGGAAAAAATAGAAAAGCAAAATGAATGTGGATGTAATGGTGTCCGAAGGAAAATAATACATAAAACGGTAAATCTGAAATCTAGAGGAGTCTCATTAATAGTTTAGGTAAATACTGATGCACGAAAGCAGCTGTTGGATCTAGGAAGAGTGAAGATTGGATGGAAAATGTGTAGAGTACAGGATTATATAGGGATTCTAAGGTGCTTCAAATGCTGCGGTTATTTCCATTTTGCAAAGAAGTGTGTAAAAAATGAAGCATATGGCCTGTGTGCGGGGCATCATATGACGAAGGAGTGTAATAGTTTAACAAGGAAATGTATAAACTGTGAGGACAAAATCAAGATAATAAAAATAAAAAATTTGAAGTCGGACCACTCGGCATATGACAATAACTGTTCTTGTTTAAAAAAAGAAATAGAAATGTATACAAGTAAAATGCAGAGCAGCATATAGCAACGAGAGAAATTCAGAAGTGTAAAAAACTGTGTGGTTTGCTTAAATGCGCAGAGATTCTTGAAACATAAGGATGAAATAGAGAACATTTTATTCAAGGAGTTTAGACCTTGTTTAGTAGGATTAAAAGAGACGCATGTGACGAGCCAAATTGAGGACCACGAATTACAAATCAGTGGATATGAATGTGTGCGAGGAAATTCTGAATCTACTAGAACGGGAGGAGTATTAGTATATATAGATAGGACGATTAGATTTGAAACTAAAGCGATAGAAAAATGTGAGGGTAATTGGTGGTCGATAATAATAAATATTGAGGACAGAAATTGCAAAGGCATTGTAATGGTGGTGTATCACTCACCTAATAGTAGTGATTCGAAATTTTTAGATTATTTAGAGAATGCGTGTAACGATGAGATGTTGAGACAGAATGTAATTATTATGGGTGATTTTAATATTGATTTAAAGATTGATAACTATGTACAAAGAAGATTAATTAGAAGCATGTATTCGGTAGGATTGAAACAATTGGTTAATGATTACACTAGAATAGTAAGAACGTCAGAAACAATTATTGATCTAGTTTTTTCCAATGAAGATATAGAAGTTGAAGTGCGACATGAACCTAAAGTAACGGACCACTCTATGATAGTGGCAAGTCGGAAAGGGAAAATTAGTAAGGAAACTGATAGAAAAATTGTTCGTAGAGACTATAAGAGAATGAATATATTGAAATTTATGAGATTAGTGCAAAGAGAACTTGATAAGGTGGGGGAGACTGGTATAAATAAAATAGCGAATAATGTGATAAATGCGATAGTGAAATGCCTAGATATAGTTGTGCCTAAGAAAGAAATAGTAATAAGAAAGGAATGGCAGGAAAAGTCATGGTTTAGTGACGAAATTTATAAACAAATGCAACAGAGGGATATGGCGTATAAAGCGGCTCGTATGAATAAATGTTGTAAAGATTGGGAGACGTTTCGACAAATCCGGAATAAGACGGTAGATATGTGTAGGAAAGCGAAGAGAGAATATTTAAAAGAAAGATTAGATGACAGTAAGAAGAAAGTTAGTCGGGATTTAGAGCTAAGCATTCGTGCGAAACAGCATTACAATGGGTAGTAACAAGTTGGAAAAAGATAATTGGAGAAAGGAAGATGATAGGAGTAATCTTCTTAGATTTGAAAAGAGCATTCGAGGTTGTAGATAGAGAAATCTTGTTAATAAAACTTGAAGGCTATTGAATTAAAGGAACAGTGTTAAATTGGTTTAAGAGCCACCTAATAAATTGAACGCAAAGAGTTAAATTTAATGGAATAATATCAAGTCCCATTAATGTCGATATGGGAGTGCCTCAGGAATCTGTGTTGGGACTATTGTTGTTTTTATTGTATATAAATGATATTGTAGAAGTTATTAATGATAATTGTACTGTAAGATTGTTCGCCGACGACGCCTTGATTTATACTACGGGGTTTTCGAGTCAGGAAATTAGTGATAATTTGAACGAGCAAATGTTAAAAGTAGAGAAATGGTTAGAAATAAATAGATTAGTTGTAAATGTAAATAAAACAAAGGTTATGCTAATTAGAAGTTGTAAAAAAAAGTGGCTAAAAATAATGTGATAATCAAATTAAAGGGCGAAATATTAGAAAGAGTAAATAAAATAAAGTATTTAGGAATAATAATAGATAGGAATTTGAATTTCTCGGCTCATGCAGACTATATCAGCAGAAAAGCAGGAGCAAAATTAGACGTTTTGCGTAGAGTAAGTGAGGACATGTCGCGTGACATAAGATGTAAAATATATAAAACAAGTATTGCGCCACTATTTGATTATTGTGCGTCGATTTTTGTGGGTTTAGAAGAAACTAATATACAGCGCTTGCAGAAATTGCAAAACCAGGGGTTGAGAATTATCCTAAGAAGAGATAGGAAAGAGAAAATTATAAAGATGTTGGAAATGTTAAAGTTTATGTCTATTAGGGAAAGAATCGAATATAATGTATGTGTAATAGTATATAAGATAGTAAATGAAATGTGTCCGAAATACTTAAGTAGAGATATAGAAATAGTGCAAGCAAAAAGTAAAAAAAATACGAGAAGGGGTAAAGATATATGTAATAATAGATGTAGGACAAGAGAGGAACAAAGGATGTTACTGCACGATGGATTTATAATGTATAATAATTTGCCGAATAAGGTAAAAGGGGAGCAAACTATAAAAGGATTTAAAAAAGTACTGATGCAGTATATTATGGGGAGGGAGCGGAGAAAAAAGCGGACTTATTATTCAACAAACAACAGGTATAAGTAACAAGGTATAGCGTAAGAGAACATGACGGTAATATATTATATGTAAACTATGTATATGTAACTACCGCAGCTAAATATCTCTCTCTCTCTCTCTCTCCCCCCCCTCCCCCCTCTCTCTCTCTCTCTCACGCTCTCAGTGTCATTGTGACGTGTCGCGTTGTAACTGCATTTGCAACTCTCTACGGCATCGACCAGCGACGGTTAAAATTTCGAATCCGCAACACAGTGCTCGTGACCTTCTAGAAGCCTCATCAAGATGACAACAATCAGTTCTGTCATCGAAAAACAAAATCATTTGTTTGGTGTCATTGCTTGCGCCTTCGAAAACACCAAAAAACTTGGATAAAATAAATAGATTTACCCTTGACGCAAGGATTCAAACGCTCGACGCTAATTGGAAAAAGTTTCAATGCCATCACGACAAACTTCTCGGTTGTCACTCCGACAAGACTCTTAAGCATCCTTATTTTTCGGATGACCTATACTCAACATGTGAAAAAGCCTATTACAATTCAAAGTCCAATCTCATGCAACTGCGCGAACCGTTGCTCGATCACCACGAAGAAACAAATGAGTCCATCCAAGAGAAAAATTCGCGCTCGAGTTCATGTCGTACTCTTCCGAAGATCAGCCTACCCAAATTCTCCGGTGACTATCGTAACTGGCCGTCATTTCGCGATCTTTTTCACTCGATGGTAAGCTCTAATAGAAACATCCCGCGCGTTGAAATATTCCACTATCTGAAGTCTCAGACTACTGGAGAGGCAGCTCAATATCTTGCCAACATCCCGGTGACTGTTGAGAATTTCTCGCGAGCCTTCTGGCAAGCACTCACGTCTCGGTACGAGAATTGCATCCTGGTCTCGACCTACTTAGATCGAATCTTCGAATTAAAGACGTTGACACAGAAATTTAGCTTCGACCTCAAGACTCTCCTGTCAACCGTCAAAGAATCGTTTGGCGCTTTACAGTCCCTCGGTGCGCCTACTGAATATTGGGACATTCTGATGGTCTACCTCGTGACTCGACGCCTTGACTCGCACACGTTGGAAGCTTGAGAACTCGAGCAGGGAAAACGAACGACCTTGCCACCTTCGATCACCTCGAACTTTTCTTGGAAGGCCGTATTCGCGCACTCGAGACAGTTTAGTCCCGCGATTCAAAGGCATCCACTCTCCCCTCAAAATCGAACTTGAAGACAAAGCCGATCATAAAGTCGCACGCTTTAACAAGTGTATCAAAGTGCTCGTTCTGCAGTTCCAACCATTACATCGCCTCGTGTTCGGACTTCGCTTCGAAACTGTTGAAGGAGCGACAAGAGTTTGTCACGGTCAAGAGCCTATGCTATAACTGCCTTAGATCGCACCGTCTCAACGAATGTTGCACGCTAAAGAGATGCCGTCACTGTAGGGGTCAACACCATACGCTGCTTCATCGCGAGACCAGTTTTCCTGCTGCACCGTCGTCATCAGCTACCGTTGCGGCGTCCGGTGCTTTAGTAGCAGGAACGTCGCCTCATTCGGTCATTCATTCTCACCATGCTGCCGCTCAATTTGATCGACCGCAGGTGCTTCTGGCGACGGCTCGCATAACGCTAATCACTGAGCACGGTGAACACGTCCAAATTCAAGCTCTCTTGGACCAAGGATCCAAAGTCTCGCTGATCCAAGAATCATTGATTCATCTCCTTCGACTATCGTAATCGTGCTTCCGTTCTCATTGCAAGCGTTGGCTCTCAAAAGGTCGATTTAACTCGCGGCGCAGTCTCTCTTTGACTTTGATCTCACATCGATCCTTCCGTCGAAGTACATGTCGACGCACTTGTCTTGCCTCGAGTCACCGGTCGTATTCCATCTCAAAGGATAAAGACCAACACGTGGAACCATCTCGTCAACCTGCCGCTAGCCGATCCCGATTTTGCAGTGCCCGGTCCCATTGACCTTCTGCTGGGAGCTGACGTTAGTGCTGCGCGGAAACGTTCTTCAAGGACCATCCAACACTCCGGTAGCTCAGAACACCGCATTCGGCTGGATTATTTAGGGCCCTGTCGGTTCTTCAGCATCGAGTTCTCATTCGACGTTGTTCTCCATACGGTCAAAAAATTTCGTCCATCTCACAAAGATCTATAAAAGTTTTGACTTCAAGAAGAAATTGCCGCTTCATCGACCTTGCATCTTACTTTTGACGAGCTAAAGTGCGAAAACTATTTTCTATAGGCTCATTCTCGAGACAATTCCGGTCGATACACTTTTTGCTTGCCGTTCCGGTCAGCTCATCAGCCTCTTGGCAAATCCAAATCGGCTGCCTCTCGTCTTCTGAAAACGATTCAAACTCGCATTCATCGCAACGCATCCTTCGGGAAGATGTACATCGATTTCATGAAAGAATACGAGGCTTTGCGACATATGCAACGAGCGTCAACCACTGCGAGCATCTCAGTTTACCTTCCACATCATGGAGTGTTTCGAGAATCCAGCACCACGACAAAGCTGAGAGTCGTCTTCAACGGCTCCGCTCGTACCTCTTCCGGGGTCTCACTAAACGACTGTCTTCACGCAGAACCAAAGCTGCAGCAAGACATTGATGCCGTTCTTCTCCGGTGGCGTACCCACGCCTTTGCATTCGCCGCGGACATCACCAAGATGTATCGGCAAATCCTTGTTCACCAAGATGATCGCAACTTTCAACGAGTCCTCTGGAGCAAAAATAGAGAACCACAAGAGTTCCAGCTTACCACGGTGACTTACGACCTCACGTACGCGCCGTACGTCGCCCTGCGCGTATTAAAGCAGCTCGCCTCCGACGAAAAACAACGCTTTCCGCATCTGAAGTTCTGCTGAAGGAGACTTACGTGGACGACATTCTCTCAGGTGCTGACTCTCCTCACGATGCTCAGAAGAAGGCTCTCCAACTAGTGCGTCTCCTCAAGGCGGGCGGCTTCCAACTTCAAAAGTGGGCATCCAATCATGACGCAATTCTCGCCAACATCGAGACTCCTAACGAGCATCCGCTTTCCAGGAAACTACTGACCGAAGCCCGCATGCTCGGTCTTACATGGCATCCAGCAGCGGATGCCTTCACTTTCCAAGTGAGCCAAGCTGAGACTTCACAAACGCTCATAAAACGATCTGCGCTGTCTCGCACCGCACAAATTTTCGACCCGCTCGGATGGCTCGCTCCGGCCACTATCGTAGGAAAGATCTTTCTTCAACGACTTTAGACATCGCAACTAGAGTGGGACGATCAGCTCCCAAAATCTCTCGCCAACGAGTGGATCACCTTTGACGAAAGCCTGAAGAACGTCTCCGACATCTTAATTCTACGCTGGATCCAAACGTCTGCATCAGCTCAAGGTGTGGAATTACATGGGTTTTCCGACGCTTCTCAAGACGCGCTCGAAGCTGTTCTCTACATCAAAACCTTTCAAGAATACGCCGATGCCAAGATCGTGATCCTTGCAGCCAAAAGCAAGGTCACGCCACTCAAACAACAGACAATTCCGCGATTGGAACTATCTGCGGCGCTCTTACTCGTTTGTCTTCTTGTGCGAGTTCAAAACACTCGATCTGAAGAACGTTCCCGCTCATTTGTGGACGGACTCGACTATTGGCCTTGCGTGGATTCAAGGACATCCGTCTAAGTGGTTCGTCAGTAATCGAGTCGCTGCTATTCAAGAGCTGGCGCCCACTGCACGCTGGTATCACGTCTGGAGTTGACAATCCGGTTGACTGTCTGTCTCGTGGTCTAACTCCGTAACAGCTCAATCAACATTACTTATGGTGGTACGGTTCGTCGTGGTTGCAAGGTCCCTCCATAGGCTGGCCGTCACTCGTGCCTCCTCTCGATCAAGCCGTTGACCTCGAAGAGCGTCTACAAAAACTCGTGCTAATCTCGACAGTAAGTACACCGTCAGAATGCTGGGATCTCATTTATCGCTTTTCACAGCTCAAACGACTACTTTGCATAACGGCGTGGATCAAGCGCGCCATAGATCGATTCCGTGGTCGCGAATGTCCAACCTCATCATCACTGACTGCTGACGAGATGCTAGCCGCGCGCTCATTTTGGGTCAAAGAGATTCAATGAGCCTACTTCAACAAAGAAATGGACTTCTGCTCCCAAAGGACAGCTCTATCTCGGTCGCATCCGCTTCTGAAACCCGCGTCTTTCGTAGATAATGAAGGAATCCTTCGCGTCGGTAGACGCCTAAAAAATTCTCTCCTCGATACAGACAGCAAACACCCAGCTACCCTTTCTCGTGACTTGTTTTTCTCATGGCTTATCATTTCAGATCTGCACAAACAGACACTACACGGTGGAGTTCAGGTTATACTCGCAATCCTGCGACAACAGTTTTGGATCCTCGGTAGCCGCACCCTTGTCAGCGCCCTCATCCGCAGATGCGTTCAATGCGGCCGACACCGTGCCGCCATCGCCAGCAAAATGATAGGCTCGCTACCCGCACAGCGCGTAACTCCAACGCGCCCCTTCCTGAACTCCGGCGTGGACTATGCCGGCCCTTTCAACTTTTGCACCTGACGTGGACGAGCTTTCCGAACGTACAAGAACTATCTCGTCGTCTCCGTATGCTTCGTGACTTCCACAGTTCACTTCGAACTTGCCACCAATTACTCCACGCAGAATTTCTCGCCGCGTATCGCCGGTTCATCGGTCGACAAGGACGATGCTTCAACCTAACGAGCGATTGCGGCACCAATCTTGTCGGCGCCGACGCGGAACTCCGCCGCATATTCTCCTCCGCATCCGAGGAAGTTAACCGCCTCGCTCATCTTCTCACCAACAACGGCACGACGTGGCGATTCAATCCTCCGTCCACCCCACATTTTGGTGGGAAATGGGAGGCCGCGGTGAAATCCGTCAAATTTCACCTCCGACGTATCATCGGGGAATCCATTCTCACGTACGAGGAACTCAACACCCTCCTTGTACAAATTGAAGCCGTACTAAACTCGCGACCTTTTTGTGCGCTCTCTGACAATTCCTCCGATGTCACCGCGTTAATACCCGCGTACTTCATCGTAGGCGAATTGTTAATCACCATCGCGGAATCAGCTCTAATCGAGACTCCGATTTCACAACTATCGCGGTGGCAACTTATCCGGCACATGCTAGAACGTTTCTGGCATTGCTAGTCGACTGAATACCTACAGCGATTTCAAATTCGGAATAAATGGCAAAATACATCGAATTCAATAACCGTCGGCTTGCTTGTACTAATACTCGACGAACGATATCCGCCGTCTAAGTGGCCACTTGCACGAGTAACTGCCATACATCCCGGTTCCGACGGACAAATTCGAGTTGTCACCGTACGTATGGCCACGTCGGAATTTAAAAGACCGATCGTGAAACTTTGTCCGCTTCCGATCAAATCATGAATCTAGCACAGTATTCCGTTCTTTCTGAATAATTTAAAGCAGTCGTCTCATTGTCGCGCCATTCACATTTATTCTAACTCGTGTATTCCCATCTGTATCAACGACTCATCGTATTCATTTCATAGTTCCATTGTACTTCTTTTGTCTCGTTTCATTTGCTCTCTACATTCACTCAAGATAATTGTTAGATTTCAGCGGCGTCCGTCACGCCCCTGAGGCGGGCGGTAATGTTACAAGAATTTATATTAAATCAATATTTGTAAAATCATATTTTATCGATTATGTATATTTCCGTATTCCGATACTATTTCGGTCTTTAAATTTATCGATTTTCTGTGAAAGCCGTGCAGCGGCTCGGCACTCTTTGCATGTTTACATTTTTTCGTCTCTCGTGCGTCTTACCGCGCGCCGCGCCGAGCCTCGCAGCTTTGAAATCAGCTGACGGGTCCTTCGCCTCGACTTTTTCGAAACCGCTCAGTTAGCTAACGACCGTTCGATCTGATATATCTTCTCGCGACTTGTAATCAAAGTCAGTTATGTGTTATCTCATCAATGTGATCAGTTCTAATTGCAGCGAAAATTAAACCTTTATAAGTACATTCAAAGTGGTGTTTTTTTTTCAAGTGCATTATTGCTAATCTCCTTAACAGGTTGATAAG